CACTACTAATAATAAAGATTGTTGTAAAACTACGTTAGAAATAATGTGTGAGACATGTGGATAGAAGCAATACACCAGTTCTTACCGGTCTCCGTTTAGTTAATGTAAGTTGTGGAGGGCGATACCACATATAGTTCATTATTATTATTTTAAATAAATGTGTTTTTATATTCTTCAATATTTTTTTGATTTTCAAAGATACCAGAAAAACTTTCTGAAATTAAAAAATGTTTGTTAATGTATGCTTATTTCTTTCGAGTAATCATGAAGATCAGATATATCCATAATAACAGTTGCTTTCAAGTGCATAACTCTAAGTAAGCAGAAACCTGATTACATTATTTGATCAAATTATTTTCCAATCAAAAAAGAAAAAATGAAATTTATGTAATAGCTATAAAATATTAAAAGAAATAGAAATACAAATTCAGGTAATAAGTTAATCTTACATAATTTAATTTAATTAGATATTAATAGATAAGTATATCATTACGTTATTTACATGTATATTTAAGTAGCTTATTTTTTGGTAATGAGTTAAATTAATGAGTCTCATTAAGAGTTAAAAATATTTTTTCTTTAACGTGAATTATGTTAACAAAAGGAAATGTAATTTATTGGAAAAAATAATTATTTGGAAAGTTAGCGTTATTTCCTTAATAAATAACATAATATTTTTACTAATCCTTATTACTTGAAAAAAATAATATAAATAACAAATAACAACTTTTTTTTTATTTTATTTTTGTAATTTGAGACTTGTATTGAGAATCATATATTAAAATATTGTCAAGATATCGTCCTAAATATTAAATCTGTACGATTAGGATAATTTGAAACTGATTAAAAGGAAAAATATTATAAGAAGTTCACAAAGGAAAAATAAACTAACTATTAATTTTAAAATATTTACTAATGAACATATTTCTTTATGAGTAACCTTTTTTACACAGGTTTGTATGCTTTCTTGTGTACTTGTACGGGTGCTTTCATCTATTATTTCATTTCTAAACTTAACATATTCACAAATAAACAAACGGATGTACATTTCTCCTTTCCAGTCAATCAGTGAGATTAACAATTGAAACATTTTATTATTAATTTTTTAACAATTGTCGGTCTGCCAAGATGAAAGATTGTAAAGCTTTCGTTCCAATAATTCTTTTTGAACTAGCTCGCCTTTCTGGGAACACATTCGTGATAATTGTAGCTTCCAACCAAGCACTCATGGCGAGACTGAAATGATTTTGAAAGCTGGGTTTGGTGATGTAAGTGTAAATGCAACTAAGACCGATTTAAATAGTTCCGTTGATTAAATGATTTTGTTATTTGATTTATTAAAGATTATAAGGATTATATTTACTTATGACAATTTAGCAAGCATCAAATGATTAAAAAATCATTTTTCAAAGGTTTAATCATCACACCTTCCTTCTCATTTTATTTGTCACAAAATAGTATGATTACGATCACTAAGATATATAATACGATAAGTTTTTATATTGTATTTTATGGAGGATGAGTAATTTAGATTTCCCATAAAAAAAAAAAAAAAAAAAAAAACGCAAGAGAAATCGATAATAGCCCTTAGTGTTGCCTTATAGAAATTAATATATATTTTAGGATAATCCTTCATGTTCCATATTATATCACAAATAAAACCATTCATAAACACCTTGATGTCCTATATGCCGCTGATTTAGCACGAGCCAGATATTTATCTTTTCATGATAAACTCCAGTCCCATCCGCATCCACTTGTTTCCTGCCTTGCTTCTTCCTCGATTCCTGACAATTCCCCTAGGTGTCTGAAAAGAAGATGGCCTCGTGATCTCCTCACCTAGAATTAAACAGGGAGTGCTACCACTGGGCAGTATCTCTTTAAGTCTGTTCATGTCATTATTTCGAATGTGTGCATTTTAACTAGTTGTGTTGTTTATACAGTTGTATATTTTATTGAATAAATAAATAAATATATATATATATTATAGGATCTGCTTCTCCCTCTCCCGTTTAGTGAACAGATAACACTTAATATATTATTGTATTTATCACATTTCTGGACAATTTTAATTATATGTTGTTGCCAATTTAATTTCTGAAATAAGATGAGACCTAAGAACTTTACCTCCTTTTGTATTGGGGATTTCTAATTGTTACGGTTAAATATTCTTGTTATATTTGTTTCCTTTAGCTATTAAAAATACATATTTTCGATTTTTCATTTCATGTAGAGCCTTTTAAGGATGCCCGATTAAGTAAATCGTGTATTATTAAAATTAGGGATCGAAAACAATCCTTAGAATCTTTTCCTACAGTATATAAACAGTTCTCGTCGGGGTATTGAAATAGATGACAGGTATCTGTTACATTTTTATTTATATTGGTCACATAGACAGCTTATAGAGGACAACTTAGAATTCTTCCCTGTAGCAGACCTATTCGAGCTAAACGTGGTTCGCTATACGGATAAGTTACTTAAAAATAAAACTATGGAGCATCAGAAAGAGAAAATATATATATATATATATATATATATATATATATATATATATATATATATATATATATATATTGATAGGTATCAAGGTTAATGTTGGTCCAAGTATATACAGGATGCTTCAGGGTTAAGTTGCCAAACTGCAAAAATGAACTAATTACCTCAAAACAAGAAACAAACTCCTCTGAAGAAATGTCCGCAAACGCTTTGTTTAGTAGATATTCACACCTAAAGATTTTCGTTGCTATGAATTATTTACGTTATCTGAAATAAATAAAACCTATTTATTTGTTCTTACTACTTCATTAATCGGTTGTAAATATTAAAATTCATATTAAAAGTTGTTTAAAGTGATTTCCATGAGCATTAAGACAGGCTCGGCATCTTTATTCAACATCAGCAGTTGCAGAACGACATTGGGTATGTGTTATTGTTCAATTCGCAAGATCAAATTATCCTTATTCGTAAGGAATTAAGATCATTGACCGGACTTGCTTAATCATATACCATATTCCATATCCCAATCAATCGATTGGCGTTGCAGGACCAGTGGCTTGGCCTACACGCTCTCCAGAACTGACACCACTGGATGTTTTTAGGAGGAGGGGGGAGGGGTGACATTGAACAAAAAGTCTATGACACTCCGGTCAATGACCTTAATTCCTTACGAAGAAGGACAATTGAATCATGTGCAGCAATAACACATACCCAGTGCCGTTCTGCCATTGCTGCTGTTGAAAAAAAAATGCCGAGCCTGGCTTAATGCTTAAAGAAATCACATTGAACAACATTTAATATGAATGTTAATGTTTATGTTTCATTAATAAAGTAGTTAGAACAAATAAAAAGGTTTTATTTATTTCAGATGACGTAAATAATTCATAAAATCTTTAGGTGTGAATATCTACTAAACACAGCGTTTGCGGACATTCCTTCAGAGGATTTTTTTTCACTTAACGCTGAAGCACCGTGTATATTATTGTCAGCAATGTATATAGTGTAAATTTTAAATTGCAAATGAATGCAAATGGATGCAGGTTTGGAAATAATATACTGATGGTAATAAAACTATGTTGAATACAAATTTTTTTTTAAAAAAAAGATCGGGGGACTGCTGTACAAACTCCGAAAATTCCTACCATCTACCTACTTCCTCATTATCCGTTCCTACCTTACTGATAAATACTTTAAAGTAAATCACAACAATGTCTATACATCCCGTTTTTCCTCAAGGTAGTATCCTAGGTCCTATCCTTTACACAGTTTATACAGCTGATATCCCAACCCATCCCAACACTGTCATCACCACATATGCTGATGACACATGTATCCTATCAGTTAATAACGACCCATCTATTGCATCCCAAACCCTTCAATCCCACATCACAAACCTTGAAGAATGGTGTCAGAACTGGAGAATTAAAATAAATTCCAATAAATCCCATCAAATTACCTTCACCCTTCGTCGTAAACCAATGACTTCCTGTCCTTCAGTATCCTTTAACAACACCTCACTTATTCCTGTTGAACAAATCCGTCTCCTAGGACTCCATCTGGCAAACGTCTAACTTGGAATCCTCATACCAGACTGAAACGACAAGAAACAGCTCGACGTTTCCAACTACTTCAACACTTACTAGACAAACGCTCTAACCTTCCAATCAATTATAAAAGACTCATTTACATGACTATAATAAGGCCTATTTGGACTTACGGAGTTGAGCTATGGGGCTCCACCAAACCTTCAAATTCCTCTCGCATACAATCTTTACAATCCAAAATCCTTCGTAAAATCCCCATTGCTTCTTACTTTGTTACAAATAAAATTATCCATATTGACCTTAATGTTCCTTATGTATCAGATTAGGCCTAATCCAGATATCTGTCCTTCCATAATAAACTTCATAACCATCCCAACCCTCTTGTCTCTAACCTTGCTTCCTATTCGATTCCTGATTACCCTCCGAGGCCTCTGAAAAGAAGATGGCCACGTGATCTTCTAATATAGAAATATTATTAGAGTGCTACCAATGGGTAGTTTTTCAACATGTGTTCCATGTCATTATATCCATGTGCGAATTTACCAGATGTATTTTTTGTATACAGTTGTAAATATCATATAAATAAATAAAAAAAAAAAGGTCGGTAATACCAGGAATTAAAAAAAGCCTTTGTTTCTTTTATATATAATTTTCATACCTATATATTCTGTTTGAATATCATGCAGTTTTCTGCAGCATACCGTTTTATATGTTGTGTATATAATTACTATTATTTAATGATTATACTGTGGCGTTGTTTTATACCAAAGTACAGTGTATTATTCTGTTATCAAGCCATTTGTCACCTAGCGGTCGGAAGCCTAGTACAGTTCTATTCATGGCGAGAAAGATCAATATTGAGAAAGATGTAAAGATGCTTGCTGTAAAGATTGATGGAAAATGGAAGATAAAGAGCAATATAGAAATAAGAGCCATACTGAAATTTCACGATATAGTTAATTAAATAAAATTAGGTAAGATGTGATGGGCAGGTCCTATTACTAGAATGCTGCAGAAGAAGATGCTGGACATGGCCATAGTGGAAAAAGAGAGAAAAAGAGGTAGAACGAGGGATCGCTGGAAGGACGAGATAGCAAGAGACGCTGCAAAGCTGGATGTCATGAAATGGAGGAACGCAGCCATGGATCGTGATGGAAGAATACATTTCTGAACATCAAGGATCACAAAGACCACTAGAACCAGGGGTAAGTAAGTGATTATTGTTTTATATATAAAAGTAAAACCAAAGTTTTTGGCCCACATCTAGTAGTTGTTAATTATATATATTTTTACATTGTTTTTAAATTTTGACCTTTATTTTTTAAATTTCTATTCACACTTAAGTGTATAACTTATTTTATTTATTTATTCGTTTTCATTTTAAATTTATTATTTTATGCAGGAAAAAGATGGAGTTTTGTACCCCTAAATAATTTCAGGAATGTTACATACTTTAGAAATAGAAAATAGAAATAGAAAAATAACTTTATTCTGGGACACAGTCCCTTGAGAATAACAAAATTAATATATTACATCTGGCCAAAATAAAATCAATCGAAAAAAAGAAATAATGTAAAAAAAAATATAAGGTAAAAATTCTATATACAAAACAAACTAAACTATATACAAAACCATTAATACTATGACAAGACACTTAAAGCTGTTAGCTCTTATAGACCAGTATACACTTTTACGAAAAAAATAAAGAATTAAAAAATAAAAATGTATCAAATTCTCTATTAAAATCAGCTCGAATGGTTAGCAACTATCTGACTGTTTTTGGGATAGGAATTGGAATAGGAGGGTTTTGAATGTGGATATGGATGGGGAATGTCGAATTTTGATAGGGAGGGAATTCCAGAAATTGACAGAGCGAACAATAAAGGAATTTTGGAATGAGGCAGATCTGTGAGAAGGCATGTAAAGGTTAGAAGGTCGAGATCTTGTGGACAAGGAATGGACTGAGGATTTGAACTGGAGAAGGTTGTAGGCGTAAGAAGGACGATGGTTGTTGATGATTTGGTAGAGGAACATACCTAGGAAATATTATCTTCGGAAGGAGGAGAAAAGCCACTTTAACTCAGCGTAGTGGTGAGAAACATGGGAGTATCTTGGGGCCCCGATCACAAATCTTATTCAGCTGTTCATTAGTCTTTTCAGTCTATCACGGAGCTCCACACAGAGGCCATCATTGGAGGATTGTGTGGAGTAGCTGGGACGGAAACCAGATTGGAGAGGATCAAGTTGGTTGAACTTTTCGAGGAAGTTGGAGACTTGGGATTGCACCAATCTTTCTAGGGGTTTTGAGAGGTTGGAAAGAATTGAGATTGGGCGGAAATCTTCGGGTGAGGTCGGATTAGAATTTTTATTCAAAGGAAGGACAATGGCTTTTTTCCAAGATGTAGGGAATACTGTACTTCTATATTATTTTTCTACTTAGGTATATCAATTGCTTCGAAATGGATCAATGTTTGTTCATTAGTTATATCATATGTCTAATAAACTATAGTGCGAACGAAAGGATTATCTAATAACTTATCAAACTGTCTTAGTTAAAAACTATTAGACAAGACGTAATTAGTAGATAACTCATATTAAAACACCTAAAACAAGTTCGCTTTGTTTTTTTTGTTTTTTTATATCTATGACATATAAAGGAGATAGCTTATATAATGACCGGTCTTGGAAGTTACTTCTAGTTAATAGCGGAGACGCCTCATAACGTCATAAATAATGTGTTCGGAGTGAAATGTCCTAGATATTATGGAGACGAGTGGCTCTCGCAGGCTATGGTAATCCCATCAAGTCCTATCGTTTATTACATTATATTATTTCCTTACTGTTGCAAAAATAATCTACAAATAATATTTAATTTTTTTAATAGTCAATAAATAAATTTTGAATTTCGAAAAATTGATTCAGTATAAGAATGGTATTCCTATCACAACTCTCATAATTTTATTCCAAAGTGAAATGCGATAGTTTAATTTAATAAATAACCATTGGTCAAAGAGCCTCTAAGGGTTTTATTTTATTTTTTTTAGTATACGGATTTAAGATATTTAATATTTCATTAAACGCTATGAGTTTTTTTCTCTTTCATGAATTGGTTCGCTAGTGATAAAGATAGTAAAATGCATATAAAAACATTACGATGTTCGGCATAGACTTAAACTTTTCATTCTATTAGAAACCGAATTTTGTATAGAAGATCCAATATTGATTATTATAATCGGTAATGCCATGAATGAATGAATGTTCTTCCTCGTGCAAGATAATAGAGATCTTAGTCGGTAGGTAGACCTTGACCGACCATGATCCGTGGATCTGGACCGATCTGTAAGTTCCTTGAACCCGAAAGTTTCACAGCGTACACTGAACCATAGTTTAATCCAACGTGAGCCTGCATGACCCTCTTCACCTGTATATTTTAATGAAAAAAAAGGTCTATTTTTTATATTGCTATTCTATTCTAAAGTCGATATGTTACTATTTCTTCTTGAACTTTGTTTCTATTCATTATGTAATAAAAACTAATTAGTCGAGGAAATATAGATGAATAACGAAATATAAGACATTTTGTAATGTTTATGCATAGTTATACTTAGCTTATTTCTTATTTTCGAACGCCAACTAAGCAAGGAAATACGACTTTTTATTTATATTTTAAATTTCATTCGAAAAGTAACAAACATTTCATAGACACAGTCGAAAAGTCAATATTCATTCCCTTGGTTCGCCAAAAAATGAAATTTTAACTCACCCATGACGGATTCGAACCAACGCACACTTGGACGAGCTAACGCTACTATTGGACATTGGTAGAAAAAAACCAGAAGTTAAAATTTGGAAGTTTTACTGCATTAGTGACAAACTAATATCTTTTCCCCTTCATGTCCAGCAGTTTTTAACTTAATTATCGGATTAATAATACTCTGCTGTGAGATAATAAGAGAAGACCCCATGTTTTTTATATTTGGAGCTGGTTTATCTGTATTTTAGGTTCAAACCTAACGGTATGTGTTGGGTAGAATTAGGTACTTCTAATGAACCTAAGATAGGTTTATTAAAATACATATAGTCGTTTCGACGTTTCTAACAATTGCGAACAATATTGGTCCATTTCTCAAATCACTCGAAATCGCTCGGAAAACTAGATAGATTATAATAGGTCGTCATGAAATAGGTAATAAATTATACAATATCTGAACAATGTAGTGTTTACAACACGAAATACATACAACACATGGATTTTCAACACTGTATTTGTATCTACAACGAATATTTTTACAATATTTATTTTACGTGAAATACTTATATTGCTTGTATGAAATAATTATTTTGCACGAAATAATTATTGTCTAGCATAAAATACCTAATATAGATAGAAATTGATAAATTAGAGCAATATTTAAAAAAAAGTAATATGTTTATAGGATATTTGGTTTAAGAAAATAAAAATCACGTTTTTAAATATTGCTAAAAATTGAAAAAATTTTATTCGATTCCGATTTCATCATATAAAGGTTCTGAACTCAATAAATGCCCAATACTACAAGAAGCGGAATGTTTGCGATCTAAATGTGAATTGAAAATTAATTTTATGATATTATATATATACCTAGTCCTGTCATATAGGAAATATATACAGATTCCAACAGAAAAAATATTGTTTTCAAAAACTTTATTAGAAAATAAAATGTATATCTATAAAGAGTAAAACAAAAAAGAAATTACTCAAAACGTCCTCCTTTTGCCTTGACAAAGGCATCTCCGTGGGCAGTCATTAATAGTAACACGCAGCACTTCTTGAGGAAAGTGTTCAACTGCTCGGAGCAGAGATTGTTTGAGGCTTTCCAAGTTAAGATGTGCTCTGTGGCATGCCATCATCAGCAGTTCGGACCAAAGCCGGTAATCTAGTGGGTAGATATCAGGTCTTCCTGAGGGCCAATTCGATGCAGAGATTAATTCTGGAACGTCCTTTTGCAGCCACTGCTGCGTTGACCTGGTCTTTTGAGCTGGAGCGGAATCCAGTTGGAACACTCAATTGTTTCCAGCAAACAGAATATCATTTATAGGCTTGACAAAAGGTTCCGAAATTTCTTCCTGATAGCTTTTGAAGCTGTTTTAACTCCTTTTTCACAAAAATGGAACTTCGTAGTGTTATTAAAGTAAATTTCCCCACCAGACCATCACTGAGGAAGGGCGATGACCTCTTTCCACTCTTCCAATGATTTCCTGGACTTTGTTAGGGCTGTGTGCGTGCACACGATCATTTTGGCAACTAAATTTTTCTTCGATTGTAAGAATTATCTCATCGCTAAACAAAATATTTCGATGAAGACAATTGGTGTAACGGCCAAGAAGTACTCTCCATCTATCCACTCTATTTTATTTAGGGAAGTGGTTAGCCTTTGTCCTATCATTCTTCGAAATGCACCCATCCTAAGGTCACTGTTTATTATGCGAGACATTGATCTGACAGAGATGACCATTTTCCGAGACATGATTTGTTGTTTTCGAATGGGATTTCTTCTGATTCGAGCAGCCGCTGCTCTCACTGCATTTGCCGTTCTCACAGTGCGGGTACAGCCCAATCGAGGTCTGTTACTAGTGTTACTCAAAATCAGTCTTGGTCGAGCGCTTTGCAAGACCAAGACGAACTTCGCCTACCTGTTGCAAGAACAACAATAAGAATGGTAAAAAAAAAATCGATTTTTAAATAAAAATTAAGGCAAAACAGTTACTAATACTTGACAATTTTAGTTAATATATGTAAAGAATCGGTGTAAGAATTGCATTTAACTCTTCTAATTTTTCATTCAGACTTAGCTAGGTTTCTCATATCTCAAAAACTACAGTAATATCTCTCTAGTAATAAGCTGATAGGTAACTGCAAGACTGTTACGAGTGTCTTGCGCAAGACCGAGACCTAGACCAAGACTTGTCTCGGTCTCGCATTTGGGCAACACTATCTGTCACATGCAGACAAGGTCTCATTATATTTATTTATTGTGCGGTATACGAATATACGGCTGATACCCAAAGGTTTCAAAGTTTTGAAAATCTCTGACCTACATTTTCCGACTTTGTATAAGTCGTAGCTATTTGGTTTTCTTTATCACACCACTCCATGCTAACTGAGCGAATTAAAAATAAAAATTATTTGGGATTATTATTCTGACATGTATAGAAAATAACCAAATAGAGATAAGGATTATCTGAATAATACCCAGGGATGTAAACAAAGCTCATTTTTGTAACAATATTTATGGCAGAGCAAGGTATATATATATATAAATATAAATATATATATATATATATATATATATATATATATATATATATATATATATATATATATATATATATATATACATATATAAATTGTTTTATTTAATTTATAATTATTATAGTGACGCAACAATGTATAACATGATATCGTAAATGTAATATTTCATATGTATTCGCATACATTTAAAAAAGATAAAATATTAATTTTAGAAATTCAAGATAAAATTTAAATTGTATTATTTTGTTTATGATGACTGCATCATGCAGACCAAGTGGATTGAATTCTAATCCAATACCATCAAAAACATATAAACAGACAGAATTTGAGCAGGATATTGCAATTTCCGAGTAAGTTAGAGCCGATGTCCAAGAAACCTTACGTTCACTCCAGTGTGTGGGTCGGTTTCTGGTTCGAGAATGTTGATGCAGGCAACTGCTTACCTTAATAGGCTCGGCCACTGTAGCCTCCATTAACTTATTGTAATTATTGGTGTCCTTACTACTGATTGACTGGTACGATTTATATAATTGCTATACTTTATATTTAAATAATTTATTAACCATTTGCCTAACCAAATTCAATTGCCGCTTATGCTTGGACTCAAACTGTCATTACACAATAGTTAGCATTTATTATATCTTCCTACCTACCATGGCTTAGGTAAAACAGGCGTTTGCAGCAGTGGGATGTTATGCATACCTTTTGACCAAGTTCCATTCCCGTATAATCTTTTATCTTAGCTTAAATGGGGTTTCTCTGTAATATCCAAGCCTTTTCTTATCCCTATTACTATCAATATTTCGTTTCCAATTTTTTTTTTTTTTTTTTTGAGCTAATGGCAGTATTAAAACCATTCCCATTGCACTTTTGAAATATAACGCACCTTCAAATACCACATGTAGAAAAAGGTTAAGGTAATTGAGATTATCGTTCCGTCACTATGTAATGATCCGAATATGCACTTATCTCATGTTTTCTTTTTCAGAGGGATAGAAAAAATAAAAAAATTTAAAATATGTTCTGTTAAGAAATTTATTTTTTTAGAAAAAGAATTTTTTATTCATAAATATTTTTTATTCATAAATCATGTTATTTATTTTTCTTCGATAGCCTTATAAAATTGGCAATTACCCAATATATTAAAATATTTTTTTAAACTTTTACAGAAATAAAATAAACAATATTTTATTATTGTCTTTTTTCGATTACGAAAAAGTTTAATTGCGTTCCTTCTTAGGTTTTCAGTAATGAGGGGATTTTTCAAATCGGATCGAATGTACGTGACAGAATGTCGTAGCTCCTTAGTTCCTTCTTTGAACGCTTTCAAATATGTTCGTAATTGAAGGACTCAAAATGACTAAGTTTCTCAACTTCTTCTTATACTCTAAAATATATTGAGTATTTTAATGTACCTTCTTCCACCCTTCTGATTTTATTAACTTTGAGGGTTTTAGCTTTCACTATAAATGTTCGTTTAATGAGGTGTAAAACCTCATCGCCATTAACGCCTCTAAATTACTTTTATTTATCTCTGTCCTAAATTCACTAAAAATCTCTTCATCAGCTCCAGACACATCTTGCTTATTCTTTCTGTAGTTTTAGAATTGTTTAATAGCGATTACTTTTTGACATAAGCAAAATAAAAATCCATGAGGAGGTTGTCCGAAACGTTACCGGATAAGATATTGGTGAATAAATCTCTTCTAATTGTCCGAAAGTTGTGCAATCCTTCCGCCAGGCTATGGAAAGAGCAGGAGAACAAGATTCGAGTAATTACTGTTTATGCAGTCACAGATAAGGAATCTGAGCTCGCAATGTTCCTTCACAATCCTAATTAGGCCATTGTCTTTGTAAAGTTGGAAAGAGATTGATGAAGTTCTTTTTCGAAACATTTTTCGATTTACTTCTGCTGTGACTGAGTCGTGGTTGTTCGATTGCGGAACATGGATCGGTGTTCTAAAATTAATTTTATATGTAGTTAATAGCAGATGTAAAAAATACATAATAGTAATTTAAATATTTAGTTTGTGAGATTCAATTTATATAAAATATGTTGAATAGTACTACACCTTTGAAAAGAATCTTGTAGTTTACTATTTATTATCTAGTTCAATTAAGCCATTCAGGTTTCATACATTAATCGTCTCAATATTAATAGTCCTGTATTCTTTCTTTGCAAACAATTTTTTTAAAAATATATATATAAGTCTCTGAGGTTTCTTTTCTCGAGTTACATAAGTGCTTTATCGACTTACTCAAATTATTATTTTCCCGAATTCCACTATTTATTGTGCTTTTTGAAGTAATATTTATTTAATGAATTATTTAATTTTTTTTTCAAATGGTCTAAATGATTATTCTCCAGACGTTATGACATGATATTTGTTAATGAAGTTTATATGGAAACAACTATGAAATGCAGATACTTGTAATGTACAAAATTAGTATAGATATGTCATCCAAACGAAATAAGAACATTTCTGGAAAGGTGAAAATTTATATAAACGTTTTCTACTTCCTCACTACTTATGGGTAGTGAAATTAAAAATGTTTTATTCTCAAAATAGAAAATTTTCACACATATTTTACGTTTTTCTCTGATAGCTCCGAGGCCTTAAATTGATAATGTTTCTCCAAATAAGTTTAATTTTGATTTTGGCCCATTTTTAAGGTACTAGACAAAATTATTTGACCATTTGACGTTCCCGGATGTCTCTATATTTGTTTTCATGTCATTTCTCTGGTTGAAAAAAATAATGGTGTTAATTTTATGATTTTTTTTTATAGAAATAAAATTGTAACATTAAAAGAAATCGATCTCAACCGCAAGAAAAAAATATTAATATAAATTTATAAATCGTATTGTGTGTTGCTATTACCAAGGTGAAGACGCGAATTTGTCCTTGTTTTGTAATAAAAACATTCTGTATCTAATACTTCAAAATATAGAAAATTTCAATATAATATGATTATTTTGAATTATTGGTCCTCTAGTTATTTCAAATATTTTGGCAACTTCCTAATGAGTGTTACGTCTTTCATTTAATATGATGGGAAAGAGCTTACAAATATTTGTTTATGATGCCAACAAATAAAAGAACTGACGGAGAGTCTATTATTTTTTTTCCTCCAAAACATGGCATATCACGAAAATGTCAACCAAAATGTTATTATTATTTCACCCAATATTATTCAATTATCATTTTGAATGATAATTTTGAAATAAGTAGTTTAAACACATTTATTTGGTGTTAACCCATCATGTCTGCCGAATATTTGGTTAATTTTTTATTAGAACCTAAAGGAACTATTACGCTGATAATGCCCACGGCAGCAAAATAGTCTCCTTTCTATCTCCTTTCTAAGCACTGTTTTAGTGCTTAACTTCTAGCAGTGGTCGCGTTGGAGAATACCAGCGATATAATAATACCTTAACGAGTTTTTGCTCCATCAGCGTTACTACCAAATTTAATTTAATTAATTTTAATTGCGTCCTCTACCAATTGATAATAACAGTTTTATTATCAGGAACATTTGGAGAAGAGGAAGAGTTTATTTATTTTTCTTATTTCTTTGCCAGATATCAAATATCAAT